AAAAAAAAAAGCCTTCTAATATGTACTACTTGTTTATCTACATAACTAAACTAGATATGAAAACCATCCACATCCCAAGCTTGTCTCTGAAATATATTGAAGTACATAAAATTTTTTTGCTGAAGATTACAAATTCTGAATAAGTGTGTTTTAACTCTTTGTGACAGAAAGTTGACCTCCTATGGTTTGATCTGATTGGAAAAATTAATTAAAAATGATGATACAATTTTTCCTTTCAGTATATACATTCTTGTTAATCATACATGTGCATGATAAGACATGGAAAATTAATGTTTTACCAGCATGGCCTCCATTTTACTCCTCCTCGCTTTGGTTTTTAGTTTCTCCAGAGCTACAAGTCCAACCTGCCGAACTCTCTCTCTAGACAAACCTATGCTGAAGAGTTAACAAGCACAAGTCATTGTTAAATTGACTTGATGCAGAAAGGAATTATAGTAACATCTCATGCAGATATGAAACTAAAATTTTGAAAACCATATAGGACTCAACATTTGATAATTAGACAGAAGCACACCAATTAATCTCAATTCATTAGTTTCATCAGTTTCTGATGAAGATTGACATCATGACAAAAAATGAGTAGTTTCTTGATCTAAGATGACAAATTTCATGGGATACCTTTATCCTATCATTTCTTTGATATGTACGTTCATCAATTTTGAATAAGAACCAAAATGGAAGTTTTGGTAATCCTTACTTTCCAGGGAAGAGAAAAGCTTAGCTGGTGCATGCAAACACTACAACAACTAAAAGCATGGCAATTAAACGTATCCATACTCACCGCTTACTTATTTCCTCCCATGTAAGACTTTCGTTATCTAAACCGTGGTACAGGCGAATTATATCTCTCTCTCGTTCACTAAGTGTCACATTGATAAGTCTGTTTACTTCATCCTGTAAACATGGTACCAGTCAGGTCAGGTGAATGTTCTTCTTCCAAAGAAACAAAACAGAACACGAACTAGCTACCTTAATTGTCAAGAACAGGGCAACAAATAGATGCACATAAAACTGTTTGAGACAGTACAACAAGCTACTAGTACATAATTTACCAAAGATGCTACATAAATCTTAAAAGTTGGTCTATGCCACTTTTATGGCCATGCTTTTTGTTTAACATGATTGCTTGAACATAATCCTCTTTTTATATATTTTTGGCCTGCAGCACTCTTTATATCTTTTATTTTTTAAAATTTACAACCAATCCTTCCACTGAATAAACTATTCTCCATACCTTAAGTGCCCAGTCATCAAATCCATGCCATGGATTGTTCTCCGTGCAATTGTCTGCAATATACTGGAAAAATATAATAGAAAAGTCAATAACAAATAGCAGCTAAAAGGCACAGGCAACTGGAAATTAGATCACCCAAATTTGGTTCCATATATTGGAATGGGAACATACACTATGATGAGTTTCTCCTGGAAGACCATTCAAAGACGGGAATGGATCCCTATCTAGTGAGAAAACCTTACTGACTGCCTGCATATAGTGCAGTTATACAATAAGAATTAAAAGAATCTTCACATATAATTTAGCATAATGTAGCTCTTAGACATTCAGTACCTCTGTAGCATTCCTAACTTTCTTCTGGGACATGTTTAGGCTCTCTGCAATTCTCTGGAAAAGTAATGCTATTAATAATAAGCCACAGGGAGAATGTACAGCAGCACATAAGCAGAATAAAGTATCAGATCCTTTAATAAAAAATTAGTAGGATTAGCAACTTTTTTCAGGCTTCAGGAAGTTTCAGGTCATAGAAAGTGGAAGGAACTCCATTATTCTTATAACAGCAATATATATAATTGACTTACATCAATAGATGGTGCTATTCCTTTCTCTTTCAACTTAATCTTTGCATTTCGGATTAGCCACAGCCTTTCACGCAAATATGTGGGCAGCCGTAAAGTTCTTGAGTTCTCAACTAATGCTCTAGAGACACCCTGAAATGAGATGAAAAGAATAAGTGTCAGCTTTGCCTGATCATAAAAGGAAAAGAGTATTGGGATGTATGATGTGAGTAGAATGCTAGCAATCACAAAACCACAAGTTGGTTCTATGAATTTAAGAGGCAACCATGGAGTTGTGTCAAACTACCAACAAAAAAACTCCAGTGACTCTGAAGATTAGAATAGAAATTATGAATAATAAAGATACACCAAGGACATGATTTTTCTTCTGTAATTCTCTGGTTAAAATTTGTCCCCACACTGGTTTTGGTTACCCCATATGAAAATGTATCATTTTAAAAAGCTTCTTTGCTGGCAATTGTTATTTCAAGGTACAAACCTTTGTTTTTCATATATTAACTATGCTGAGTTGATAGCAGTCACATGTAATGCAGTAAACATTTTATGATGTGAAGCTGTCCATTCATGAAGCACAAACTTGACTTAATCCCAAAGGAAAATATCAATCTCACCTGACGTATCCACCAATATACATAAGTTGAAATTTTGAATCCCTTGGAAGAATCAAACTTCTCAATTCCACGCAGTAGTCCAATCAAACCACCCTATATCAGGTATATAACTTTTTGTTAATCCTTCACGTCTGACATGATCGAAATCTACAAATCAATATTAGTAGAACACTTCTTTCCAGATAATGCAATTCAAAATCAGCACAGCACGAGGATAATTACCTGAACAAGATCAGACATTTCAGCACCCATGTTATCATATCTCTGAGCTATTGACATGACCAAACGAACATTACTCATAGCTAGTTTCTCTCTTGCCAATGAGCATTCAATCAATTTTGATTGTAACTCAGCACGAGAAATTTTCAAGGAAGTTGCAAGCTGCTCATCTGATGGCTCACAACCCAATTTCTCCTTAAGTCTACAAATTGCCATAACAAAAATTAGAAAGAAAGCTCAGTAACAGGATTCTAACATATTCAGCTACTTATAGCAGAACAGCTTCTTTGAATCTAATTTATCAGCTATAACCTGAAATGATTAATTGAATCTAAAACATGTTCAATTACCTGAACTTCTGCTCCTCTAAAGAAAGTCCACTCTTGATCTTCTTGGATAAGCACACAACTTCTGCATGGCTGAGAAGCTCATTATTTACTACACCTTTCACGTAACCCTTCAAACGATTCTGAAAAAGTTCAGGACCAATCATTGATCTTATCTGCTTAGAACCAGGCTGCTGCATTTTATTTTGGCATAGATTTCTCCTCTTAGAATTCATTCTCCGTTGTCGAGCAGACACTCCAGAACAAGTAACAGGTATTTTCTTGTGAATTTTTTTCATTGATGAATCAGCTAATGCAGTCCCTTCAAAAGAAAGATTCCATTGCTTCTCAAGCATAGATTTCTGAAGTAACAAAAGAGCTTCCACAGAATAGTCAAGGTCAGAAGCTTCTTCTTCTTCTATGTCATTGGATCCTTGAAACCATGGCAATTCAGTGGAAGTAATTGAGGCATGGTCCCCATACTCTTTAACAGCCTTAATGGACTCCGAATGACGTTTGGATGATGGAAAACTTGGGCTATAATTAGATGGCTTCTTTGCAACAATCAAATTCTTTATCGAAGCAGTTTGATACTGTGACAATGCATACTCATTGAAAGATGTAAGTTTTTCTGAGATGTCAGAGCAATGGAAGGAAGAACACAAAAATCTGTTTGCTGTACTAAGTCCAACAACAGCAGCTGTTGCCATCATCCGGCCTCTCGTGTTAACACAATTACCATGACACGGTCTTAACCAACTTGTTCATCAAAACCATATCTGAAATTGGATTCACTAAGCTCAGTGGAATGGTTCTGTGCTCCTCCAAATCCCAAAAACTGTGTTCTCTTCTTCTAGGGTCCTAAAGAAAAGCAATTAACAAAAAAATCAGAATGATTCTCCCTAAAGATTGGCTTCTTTCTTTCTTCTTCTATTAGTAAAATTTTTAAGCTGTATTATCAAGCATGAAACCACTAAGAAGCTAATCTTAAACTAAGGCACTAAGATTAGGAGCAAAGAATAAAAAGGCAAGAACAATATACTGCAAAAATTAAATAGAAACCCAATTTTGACCCATTTCAGCATATTAGTGACACAGATTTATTCATTCCCAGAAGGGTGTATTTTAATCTGTTACAAAATTGATGCTTTCACAGGGTTTTCCGAGTATAACCAAGAACATGAACATCTAAATTCAATAAGGTGAATTAAGAGTACTGAACAATAAAAACCAATTCAAAGAAGAAGCATTTGCAGTCAAAATTCTAAAGTAGCAACATCAACGTGAACATGTAATCTAGAGAAAGAGATTATAAGGTTCCACAAAAGGTTCATGTTGAAGCCTACATCAAGAAATGCTGAAGAAGCAAAGAGAGAAAAACAAAGAAAGAACAAGAAAAGAAAAAATGGGGAGAAACGTTAATACCAAAGTGGATGGAGTTGGAAACTGGAAATGAAATGGAAGTTCCTTCTAGTTTTTATTTTTGCATGTTCATCCTCTGATATTTTTTTTTTGATATTTATAATAGGAGAATAAAGAAGAGCCAGATGGGAGTAGAGAAGAGAATATAGAGATAACGTAGGGAGAGATGCTATTGGGTGGAACAGATATTGGGTCCTGGCTTTTGTGGTGCACACGCGGCCATTTTGAGCTTTTGTTTTCCTCTTTTTAATTTTATTTTTGCCATTTTCATACAATTACTGATATTTATATTTTTATTTAAATCTTTCTTTTGAGTTTAGTTGGGTCTGGTCGGGTTGTTCACCACACCACACCTAGACACAACTGCTTCTGAGCAAAAATCGATGAAACTGCGGGTCCCATTGATTATCATCTTTTTTTTTTAAAAATGTTATACAATCCAAATTTAATTGGATTATA